ACTCTTATAATCTTATATAAAATTAATATTATAATAATATACTCTTACAATCTTATATAAAATTAATGTTACAGTGTATTATTACATAACGTACTCTTATAATGTTATAATCTTAATATTATAGTAATATAATTGTATCATTATCTTATAATCTTATATAATATTAATATTATAGTAATATAATTGTGTTATTATATAATAATATAATATTTTGAATAAATAATTTAAAAAGACAAGTATGTTTGATTTTTATTGTTTCTTACTGGTTTTAAATCTGATTTATCTCTTTAGGAAGAAGAGCTGGAATCTCTGTTCATGCAGGTAGTCCTTTACTTACAAGCCCAACTGAATTTCCGTCGTTCAGCGAGGCAGTTCTTAAGTAAGGCATGCCCAATGACCTTTCTTGCCACATTAATTAAGCAAATCGCTGAGGTTGCTTCTCCCGTTGACTCAGAAGTCAGCTGAGAAGGCTGAGACCATCATCAATGAAGGCCGGTTGCCAAGCGACTGAATTTTGTTCATGTGGTTCTAGGGATGCTGCAACGGTCATAAGTGCGAGGACCACTCATTTTTTCCAATGCCACTATAACTTTGAATGGATACTCAGCAATTGGTTGCAAGTCAAGGAGTACCTGTACTCATCTGGGCCGTTTGACCAAAAGATTACATTATATATTTCTCCCATTTTTAAAATTCTGGTTTCCTTTTTAATCACGAGTGAGGCACGTAGTTTTGGGGAGCCCAAATTGTGTCACAAACAGAGATTAGGGTCAGAGCCACATAAGGGGCTCCTTGGGGGTTAGGTGGTAGTAGTGGGGTGTCACGCTTAGAGGCCAGGAGGTGGGGGGGCAGAGGGATTTCAGGAGAGGAAATCATTCAACCTTTATCCTACAGGTAGTCCTTGACTTACAACGACAACCGTGTCCAGAATTTATCTTGCTAAGTGAGAAATTTGTCAAGTGAGTCCATTTTATGGCTTTTCTTGCCACATTTATTGAGTCACTGCAGTTGTTAAATTAATAAGTGAATCTTATTAATTTAAGTGAGTGTTTGTTAAGTGAATCTTGCTTCCCCGTTGACTTTGCTGGTCAGAAGGAGAATCGCGTGACACTGGAATGGTCATAACTAAGAACCAGTTGTCAAGCAGCACCTGAATGTAAATCACGTGGCCATGGGGAGGCTGCCACGGTTATAAGTGTGAAAAAACAGCTGTAAGTCCCTTTTTTTTCAGCACCATTGTAACTTCAGATGGTCACTAAACGAACCTTTGTAAGCCGAGGGCTATCTGAGTAGGCCCAACTGTCAGAATACTGCTAGTCCTTGACTTACAATGATTCAAAGTTACAACAGCCTTTAAAAAAAAAGGCAAGTGATATCCGGTCCTCATTCTTATGACCATTGCTGCAACCCCATGGTCTCTTGACCAAAATTCTGTTGCTTGGCAACCGGCAAGTATTTGGTTGCAGCATCTCCTGAGGTCATGTGATCACCATTTGTGGCCTTCCTAGGGAGTTTCCAACAAGCAAAGTCACTGGGGAAATCTGGCTTCGCTTAACAACTTCACAATTCACTTAACAACTGCCATGATTCGCTTCACCATCAAAGAAAGAAGGTCGTAAGTTCAGCCATGACCCTCTTAACAACTGCCTTGGAAATCCTGGTTCCAACTGTAGTTGTAAGTCAAGGACTAACTGTAGTTACATGAATATACAGTTATTTTTTAAAACCTTTTCTCTCTCTGAGTACCCTGAGAATATATCTGCTGAACAAAACTCCACATTGGTGACAGGAAGGGCATTCGGCCAGTGAACACTCTGCTAGCTCCATTCAGTTGCCCAGACTGAAGGGATTATGGGATCATTAAATGATGATGATTTAAAACCTTTTCCGATTGCCTATAAACTAATTTCTAGTAGAAATAAGAAACTCCCTGGATTACCCTTCATAAGATGGCTTCATAAGATGGCTTTTTCACCTGATTTCATTCTCCATCTTTTAGTAAGATAAAACCTCTTTTGTAATAAAATGATATATTTGGAGGCTTATCTCACTTATTAACAGGAGTGGAGCAACAGGAGTGGGTCAAGGGGGAAAAAGTTGGTCCATGTCACTGTTTCCATGGAATTCATTTTTTTTTAAATTAGATGGAGAATTTTTAAGCAACAGTACGTGATCTTAATAGTAATGATTATCAAGGCGGGGGGGGGGTGAGACTATTTTTTCAAGATGGATACAGAAGGTTTTAGTGGATTAAATCCTGCTGGCAGCAATTTACTCTTTGATGGTGAACTTCTGACAGCCCTCTCCAATAACCAATTTTAAATTGTCAAGGAGATAATAGACTATAAAAAAACCCGACATAGCCTTTTCAGGAAATGGCACCAATGGAAATCGCTTTTAAGTTGTTTTTAATAAGCTCAGATACCCGTTGAGGAAGATCAAGGAAAGAAGAAAACAGGGAGAGAGAGAAAAATAATCCGAGATGGGTGAGATTTCGTTTTTAAAAAAAACACCAAAGGACCTTTGAGAAGCACAGTGGAAATAAGAAAAAAAAATTATGAGAAAAAAAGAGTTGAAGGATAGCATTAACAAATAAAATTCTATGTTAAAATCCACACACGGCCTATAATTGTCTCCATTGTCCTCACCACTCTCTGTAGGGACTTTCTATCTGAGGCACTGTGGCCTGTGGCAAAAGCGGCATACACAGCTATACAGAAAGCTTTGGGATAATCCAAATATTTTTTAAAAGGACATATGTATGAAATGGGAAAGTAAAATGTGCAGAAATGTAGCCGAGAATTGTAGAAATGGTGACAGGTAAGAGAAATTCAGAAGTGACTGAGGTTGGCAAAGGACGTTGAGTATTCTTTTTAAAAGACTTATTTAGATATGTTCAAAATATAGGGAAAAGCAAAGAGTCGGTGTATTGGCTGCTCAGTGAAAAAGGAAGAATGGTAAATTAAATAAAGCAATCCAAATTATACACTCAGGTTAAATGTAATCCCATTAACACATGATGTGATATGCTTTAATGTTATTACAAAACCTGCTAAAAGCAGTAGCACCCATGCAAACCATGAAGCTGAAGTGAAGACACGTATGATTGGGTAATCATACAAATGCTTGGGTGGGGGGGTGGACTAGATGACCTCCAAGGTTCCTTCCAACTCTGTTAATCTGTTAAACCAAGAAACAGCTACTCAACTCCTATTGGGTTTGCTCTTTTCCAACAAAATATATGCATTCCACTAGAAAACCGAAGAGCAGGATAGAGAAATAAGAGCCCTGAGATTGACAGAAACACAACACAGGGAATACCTCTTTATTCTGATTATGTTTAAAGCTCCACAGATAAATGCCATCCTAGGGGACTGAAGGAAGCAGCTGATAGTTGGGCCAAATTCTTATGTATTATCTTGGAGAAATCCTCGAATGCTGAGGTGGTCTAGAGGTGGAGCTCTCTTGCCTCACAATCAGGAGGCTGTGAGTTCGATTCTAGGTAGAGGCAGATATTTCTCCCTCTGGGCGCAATGAGAATATATCTGCTGGGGAAAAAACTCCTCATTGGTAACAGGAAGGGCATCTGGCCAGTAAACACTCAGCTCCATTCAGTTGCCGAGACTCCACCCCGCAAGGGATTATTATTGAGGTCATTAAAAGAAGAAGATGATGATCTTGGAGAAATCCTGCTGAAGTGAAATGAGGAGAGCAAATGAAGTCCCTATTTTCAGAAAGAGGAAAAAAAGAAGATGGAGTAAGCCAAGAGACCCCATCAGGTTAATATGAATTCTTAGGAAAATTCCTCAGCAGATGGTGAAGATACAGCTCTTATGCACCTTGTAAACAATGGCTAGAAATTACATCTATTGGTCCACAATCAATTTGCCAGGTTATTTATTTACTAACTAGCATTTATATCCTGCCATATTCAATTGACTCTAAGCAGTTAACTTATTTGTGGAATGGGTAACTTCCATAGTAGATTGTGAGAACGCTGCAATACATCCTATATCTTGACTTTTGCAAAGCATTTCTTAAAATGTCCCAGGCCTACTGATTGGCAAGTGGATAAATGTGGATTGGATAGATGGATGTGTATGTATGTATGCATGCATGTATGTATGATTACACTGAAACAATTATCATCTGTATTCCAGAGCGGCATGATGGCCTAGAGGTGAAAACATTCGCCTCCCACTCAGAAGGTTGAGAGTTCAATCCTAGGCAGCAACAGATGTTCAGGTTGCAAGAAGAAAATATCTGCTGTGAACTCTGCATAGGGCATCTGGCTAGTAAACGCTCAGATCGATTCAGTAGCCTCAACCCTACCTTGAATTAAGGGATATACAGGGTCATAAAAAGAAGAAAAATTCAAGTAATCTGTCCAAAAGTCAAGTAAGCAAAGTGAAGGAATAAAAGGGGCTTTCACCTGTTTTCTGTGACTGTGTTTGTTTTGTATCCCACCCTGGGTCATCACAAATTCATTGATACCAGTGGTAAAAAAGGCGGATAACTGGATTGACTTTTGGAGGAGGTAAGTTTATCATGGCTATTAAAAATAGAATCAAATGTTTGTTTTCAGAGAGTTTGATCATGGGAGAAATAATTGGAGGGGGCGTTACGGGTGTCATTCCAAGTTCATTAACTGCTACTAGTGAAACTAAGAAGAAAGACAAGGTCAGCAAGAGTAAAGTCACAAATCCAGAGGAATTATTTAAATACTGGAAGCCACAAAAGTTCTGCAGTTTTTTATCCCTAGGAAAAGTGAAATAATCATAGGAGGAGTTAAGTAATTTATTTATTAACGTTACTTGCCTTTAGACCACTTTAATCCCATAAAGGGCTTTAAAGTTTAATAAACTTTAATAATTAAGTCACTTTTATTGAAGTAACTCCCATAATAAACAAATTTTAAAAACCCAGAATCTACAAAATTTAATATTTGGAACGATATAAGATTGTAAGTCATAAATACTGTAAAACCCAGCTACAGAGCATCAGGTAAGAAACTGAAAAATAAGGAAAATAGAAACAGCAGGTAGAACCAATCGTCATCGATATGTCTTACTGTGATCCAAGTGGTTGGATTTGATAATCTTTTCGGAGTAGTCAGATATACTGGAGCATTCGATCTGCAAGAAAGAAAAGAGAAATAAAAGAAGCCCGACAATGAGCATGTCAGATGAATCAAATTGTATCAGGGCTGGGCTACTACTGGTTCGCCTCAGTTCAGGTGAACCCATAGCTAACAGGTAGCTAATTTTATGGCCGGTTCAGGTGAACTGGCAAATCCCATCCCTGGCTGGCCCCATCGGCCCTGCCCCGCCCCACCAAGGAGTCTCCACGTGGCCCGTTTTGGATCTCAGGTAATTACAGGGCCTGTGCAATGGCTCATGGAGGGTGAAAAATGGGCCTTCCAGAAATTCGGGAAGGCCGGAAACAGGTTCCAGAGGGCCTCCGGATCCTGGGGAGGCTGTTTTTGTCCTCCCAGAGGCTTGAGGAAAGACTTCAGAGGGCAAAAATCGGGCTTCCCAGAAGTCCGACTAGGCCACACTCATCATGGCCACACCCACCCAGCAACCGGGCAGAGAACCAGTTGCTAAAAATTTTGAAGCCTACCCATGAATCGCATATGCAGAAATCATAAGCTTATTCCAGAGAAGCTGTTCTACCAAGACACAGGTTCCAGAAGGCCTTCACACCTTGTGTCTAGTGGAGGGCTCTCCAAACCTGGAAACTTTAAGGCTTGTGGACTCCAACTCCCAGAATTCCTCAGCCAGCATTCTAGGAATTGAAGTCCAGAAGATCTTGTTTGTGGTGGATTGGAAACAACATTTCTTTTAGTGGCAGGGCTTTTAATGCACTTGAAGAGATCTTGAAAATTCAGAGAAGTCTTTTGTAGACTACGTGAACCATTTGCACTACTCAGGTGACCTGGAGGACACAGATAAACCTCCAAGAGGCCTCAAGGACCCTCTAAAAGGATGCAAATGACCAGCTGTCTGCAAGGAGTATAAATCCTTCCATTCCCTACTATCCTTTCAGAGCTGAAGAAGCTTCTCGGATGGGAAGTGAAACATCTTCACAGAAAAAACAAGAAAGTCCAGTTGTCTCTTGAAAAAAAGCACCTTTGGGGATCTCTTGCACTGGCAAATAATTGCGTTACCAATGAAAATGTGAAGTTTCTTTTTCTTTTTATTCAACTTCTCTTTTAATATGTAGTAAAAGACTCACAAAATGAGAATGGATCTATTTTTTTAAAAAAGGAATGCACACAGGCGGCCAAATCAATGTGCTGAAGAACATCCTCAGAAAGATCTGAAGATGATAGTCCTCATCAGGTGCAAAACACATGGGAACGCTCAAGGAAAGGGGTACAGGTAGTCCTCAACTTACGATTGCAGTTGAGCCCCAAATTTCTGTTGCTAAGTGAAACATTTGTGAAATGAGTTTTGAATAGAATAGAATAGAATAGAATAGAATAGAATAGAATAGAATAGAATAGAATAGAATACCTTCTTGGCCAAGTGTGATTGGGCACACAAGGAATTTGTCTTGGTGCTAATGCTCTCAGTATACATAAAAGAAAAGATACATTCATCAGGAGTTGAGAATCATCAGGTAACAACACTTAATAATAGTCATAGGGTACAATAAGCAATCAAATCATACTAGGAAACAGTCAATATAAATAATTAAGAGACAAGCGACAAAGTTACAGTCATACAGTCACAAGTGGGAAGGGATAGGTGATAAGGAGTGATGACAAGATTAATAGTAGTAGTAGTACAGACTTTGTAATAGTTGGACAGTGTTGAGGGAATTATTTGTTTAGCAGAGTGATGGCATTCGGGAAAAAACTGTCCTTGTGTCTAGTTGTTCTGGTGTGCAGTGCTCTATAGCAGCGTTTTGAGGATAGGAGTTGAAACAGTTTATGTCCAGGATGTGAGGGGTCTGTAAATATTTTCACAGCCCTCTTTTTGACTCGTGCCATATACAGGTCCTCGATGGAAGGCAGGTGGGTAGTAATTGTTTTTTCTGCAGGCCTCAAACCAACCAAAAAGTCAGCTGTGAGGTTCAGTGCAGGTAAGAGGGTGGCGGGATGAGGGGAATTGCATGTGCATGCGCAGGGGACATGAGGAAGGGGGCATGCCTTACATTCTGGGTGCTGGCATGTGAGTGCATGTGCACTGGCGCATGTGCAATTTTTGGCACAGGAGCCCAAAAAGGTTAATCACCACTGCCCTACACCATTTGTGACAGATGGCAGTCCAATCGCTTCTTGAAAGTCTCAAGTGATGGCGTTCCCACAACTTCCGAAGGCAAAGCTGTTCCATTGGTTGATTGTTCTCACTGTCAGAAATTTTCTCCTTATTTCCAGGTTGAATCTCTCCTTGTTCGGTTTCTGTCCATTATTCCTTGTCTGGCCTTTGGGTGCCTTAGAAACTAGCTTGACTCCTTCCTCCTCTCTGTGGCAGCCCCTCAAATAGTGGAAGACTTTGCATGCATGCACGTGCCAAACACTTGCCCACCAAACCGGTGATAAAAAACCTTTGAATCCCACCACTGGCCCAGGACGCTGCAACCGTCATAAACGCGAATCAGTTGCCAAGTGTCTCAGTCTTGATCATCTGACCATGAGGATGTTTCAGTGGCCATAAGTGTGAAAAACAGTCACGAGTCGCATTTTTTTTCAGCGCCGTTGGAACTTTGAATGGTCACTGTGGTTAAGTCAAGGACTCCCTGTACTTAACTGTACATGCTGAAGCTGCTAAAGCCAACTTGCGCCAATTGAAGCCTCTACTTATTCATAAAGCCAGTAATTTCCTTCCTTCTGCCGATCGTTGATAAAGAGGGTGAAAGATCAAATCTTGGAGTGATCCAATTAGTATTTTACACCTGGCGTCCTTGATGAGCGCTGGCTGAAAATTATTGTCTAGCCAGACAAGTGTCTAATCAATCGTCATCCCATCTAATCTGCAGTTAGCTAGCTTGCTCATCAGAATATTGTGGGCTCTTTGGTCAAGGGAAGAGAGGTCATGTCGATAGCATTCCTACTAAAGAACCCCGTTGATAAAGGAGAATATTTGTAGCTCAGGGTTGAAATGAAGGGTCCTCGGTGCTCTCTGAGTTTGGTTGTTTTCTTCTTGCAGATGTTTCATTACCAAACAAGGTAACATCTTCAGTGCTGGAAGGGAGTAGGGTTTATGAAGAAGAGGAGGGGGAGGGGGAGGAGGACTGTGGGGTCCTTGGTGTTCCCTGAGCTTAGTTGTTTTCTTGAATATGTTTCATTACCAAATTAGGTGACTTCATCAGTGCTAGAAGGGAAAAGGGTTTATGGAATGGAGGAGGAGGAGGAGGATGTTTGGGAATCCAGCTGGCAAATGGGGGGAAAAATTGCTGCCAAAAAAGCAAAACAACAGCTAGCATCCGTTCTCCTTACCCCATAGACTTTCTTGGCTCCCGCCTTGGCAGCGAACATGGAAAGGATGCCCGTGCCACTCCCCACATCCAGCACAATCTTCTCCTTAAAGACGTGCTTATTGTGATACATGGAATTTCGGTAGGTTAACGTGCGCACCTCGTCCTTTAGCATTTCCTGGGTTAGGAAAAAAAAGACAGCATGCGGTCACATCAAAATCAGAATTTACATTGTTTTGCTGGTGACTTGAATCTTTCTCTGTCTGTCTCTGTCTCTATTTCTCTGTCTCTCTGTCTCTCTGTCTCTCTCTGTCTATCTGCCTCGATCTCTCTCGGTCTCTCTCTCTCTCTCTGTCTCTCTCTGTCTCTCTCTCTGTCTCTCTGTCCCTCTCTCTCTGTCTGTCTCTGTCTCTCTCTTTCTCTTTCTCTCTCCGTCTCTCTGTCTCTGTCTCTCTCTGCCTCTGTCTCTGTGTGTGTGTGTGTGTCTGTCTCTCTCTGTCTCTGTCTCTCTGTCTGTCTCTGTCTCTGTCTCTTTCTCTCTCTCCCCCTGCCTCTCTGTCCCTGTCTCTGTCTCTCTTTGTCTCTCTCTCTCTGTCTCTCTCTTTCTGTCTCTCTCTCTCTCTGTCTCTGTCTCTCTGTCTCTGTCTCTCTGTCTCCCTCTGTCTCTCTGCCTCTCTCTCTGTCTCTCTCTCTCTCTGTGTTTCTCTCAAAGCAAAAAAAAAAAAAAACCATTGCCAATTTCGAGAGAAGACGCCCAGGGTTTCTATACCATGGCAACCATGAATATGTTAACCAGAGATATCAACCTTCAAAGCATATTTTCTTTTATCCAACCAGCAGCTGCTCCATCCGTGTCACTGACAACAAAATTGTCATCGAGAACAGGATCTCAAAAAGTGCCCCCCAAATATCTAGAGCATTGGCTGTAATTAGTTTGCAGCACAGTTTAATATCGCAAGGCTAATCTCTGGGTGAATGCCGAGCCTGTAAATTGAGCTAATATGCTTTAGTAAATAAATAAATAAATAATGTCACTTTCAGCTGCTCAACCCTATTTCTTGGCTTGCCACTCCAAATCCAGAGGATTCTGGTGCCCCCTTTCCCAATGAACTCATGACAGGTAGGTTCTTGACTTACAAGCGCTTGTTTAGTGACTGTTAGAAGTTATAACGCACTGAAAATATTGAATTCTACTGTATAGTGGTTTTGTTTAGAAGCCCAGAAGTACCGGCTTAAAATTTAAAAATGGTTGCAAGAGATCCTCAAGGAACAAATGGATTTGGAACCAGAATTATTTTTGCTAGGGATATTTAAAAAGAAATGTGGGAAAAATATAAAATATATAATATTGCACATCCTAACGGCTGCTAGAATTGCCTGTGCTCAGTGTTGGAAAAATAAGTGTATACCATCAGACGAATTGATTATTCAAAAAATAATGGCCTGTGCTGAGATGGATAAATTAACTCTGATGTTACGAGAGAAAGAAGAGTCTGAATATTATAGAATTTGGGGGAAATGGTATGATTGGATTGAATTAAGACATATGGATGATGGAAGAATTAATGATAAGCAATTTATAGATTATATTTGCACATATTGTATATATTTGTAAATAAGCACAAAATAGAAGTATATGAGATAGATGTCACACACTGTTAATGTTATATAATATGTATATTTTTTAGGTTTTTAAAGATATAAAAGATCAGTAAAGTTTATCTAAAAAAAAGAAGTTACAACATGCTGAAGATATTGAACTCTACTGTATGGTGCCATATGAATGCAATATCAGGGGTTTTTCAATTCAATCGTATAGCATGTGAAGTGGATGTGTTTGTGTTTTAGTCTGTTTTATTTTTTAATGCATAATGTACACTGAACCTGGCATTTAATTGCATGGTACGAGGTGCAATGACAATAAAGTAAACTAAACTAAAAATGGGATTTATGAGCGTGTCTCACTTCCGACCATCCCTTTGGTCACATGATCCAGATTCAGACGCTTAGCAACTGCTTCCAATTTATGACGGTCACAGGTCACGTGATCCCTTTTTGCGACCTTCTGACATGCACACTCAATGGGGAAGACCAGATTCGCTTAACGACCATGTTCCTCACTTAACAACTGCTGTGATTGACTTAACAACTGGGGGAAGAAACGTCGTAAAATCGGGCAAAATTCACTGAACGAATGTCTCACTCAGCAACCAAAATGTACGGCTCAATCGTGGTCATAAGTTGAGGACTACCTATCCCAGACTCCTTCTCACTTTGGGCTGCTGTAGACTGCAAACAACCAGAAGCCCTTCTAGACTTTACAAGGAGTCCTCAAGTTACAACAGTTTACTTAATGACCATTCGAAGCCGCAGCTGCGCTGGAAAAAAAAAGTGACATAACTTATTTTTCACGGTTACGAACGATGTGGCATCCCAGAGGTGGAATTAAAAAAAAATTACTACTGGTCCTATGGGCGTGGCTTGGTAGGTGTGGCTTGGTGGGCATGGCTGGTGGATGTAGCAGGGGAAGGATATACTGCACAATCTCAATTCCCTCCCCACCTCACTAACCTGCTTTCCAGCTCAGATGATCAGCTGGGACTCAATGGGAGGTGGAGAATAGATGGGGTTAGCAGGGCCAGTCAGAGGTGGTATTTGCCGGTTCTCTGAACTACTCAAAATGTCCACTACCAATTCTCCAGAACTGGTCAGAATCTGTTGAATACCACCAGTGATTCACTCAACAACTGCGGCAGGAAAGGACTTAAAGTGGAGCCAAACTCACTTAAGAAATGTTTCACTTAGCAGCATACATTTTCGACTCCATTGTGGTCGTAAGTTCAAGGGCTACTTGTAGTGGTTTTGATTTAGTAAATTTTTTCTCTATAGGTGAGGAACCAGAAAGGAAATTACTTAGAAGCAACTCTGCCTGCCTTTCTTGGCTTGGTGAAAATGCTTTGATCAGCTCTTTACACTGAATCCATCTTCTTCCAACTACCATTCTACTTCCAAGATCTCAGATAAACCTTTCCTGCTGATTTCTAATTGAGGTAGCAGAAGTCAGTATTGTGGCCTGCCAGCAGCCAGCAGAACTGGTGGCAGACTTGGACAGTGAGGAGGTTGAGAAGGAACATGGGCCAATCCTGGAGTCTGGAGAAGGCTCGGATAATGCTCTGCATCGGAGGCAGAGATCGGGCCAAGGTTGTCCGACAGTTATCAGCTGCCTTTGGAGTTGGGAGATCAGTAGGGAAGAAGAACAGCTGGAGCCTGTTCCCAGTGTGCGCATGCACAGAGCTGCCAGGAGAAGGGAACAGTTAAGGAACAAGGGTCGACTCAGGAGTAAGGGCGCAGGTGGATGGTGAAAAATGCCTGATAAAGGTCTGTAATTGTGAAATCTCATGAAAGACTGTTTGCCAGGACTTTGCTGGAGAGAAATTCACTTTAACCTAAATAAAAGGGGTTTTATCAGGACGATGAGTCGGCTTTCTGATCTTGGAAAGCCTAGGACAGAACAGTCAGGATGTGGTAAAAGCAAGAAGGCTTTTGGCTCATGAATGAAAGAGACCTGGTTCTAAAACCCAGTATCACCTACTATGGTGAAGGTTGCATTTATCCAGATTGATTCTGGTTCATTAACAAGGAATTAACACTTCTTAGTTTTCATTGTTCTTGCTACTTAACAGTAAATGTCTTCCTTACCCTTCAGGGTTGCACGTTCAAACTCTAATTGAAATGTCATCTATTTTTTGGTTCAAGTTCTAACTAGTAATGAGCAATTAGGGAGAACTGTGTCAATGTCACCAAAGTATTTGAAATTAACTTCTTCCTTCATGGATTTGCAGACTATGTCAGCACCCAGAAGGCAATGCGCATCCCCCCATGACCCCTGTGCATGCGATCCCTCCCCTTATCTGCACTGCACATGCGTGCGCCTCCCAGCTGATTTTCAGGACTTTTTTGGCCTCCCAGAGGCCAAAAAAATGGGCCTGTTTCATCACTTCCAGTATTTCCAGAAATACAGGAAGTGATCAAACAGGCCTATTTTTCAAAAAACATTTTCCAAAAAAAGCCCGAAAATCAGCTGGGGGGCACACGCATGCTCAGTGAGGTAAGTTTGCCTGGAGTTCGTGTGCCCACACAAATGGCTCTGCCATAGGTTCACCATCACAGCTCTATACTATTCATGTTGTCTTGTATTCTTGTATGAACTGCACCAGTAGAGGCTAAACCAATTTTGTTGTATACATGATGTACAATGACAATAAAGGCTTTGAAGATTTGAACATTTGAACATTTAGGCAAGGAAAACCAACTACACAAGTACAGTATATGTGGTACCTCACTCAATAGTAGTAACTGTGAGGGGGATCTTGGAGTCCTAGTGGACAATCACTTAAATATGAGCCAGCTGTGTGCTGCAGCTGCCAAAAAAGCCAATACAGTTCTAGGCTGCATAAATGGAGGGATAGAATCAAGATCACATGAAGTGTTAATTAATACCACTTTACAATGCCTTGGTAAAACCACACTTGGAATACTGCATCCAGTTTTGGTCACCACGATCTAAAAAAGATGTTGAGACTCTAGAAAGAGTGCAGAGAAGAGCAACAAAGAGGAGGCTGGAGGCTAAAACATACAAAGAACGGTTGCTGGAATTGGGTACGTCTAGTTTGAGGAAAAGAAGGACTAGGGGAGACATGATAGCAGTGTTTCAATATCTCAGGGGCTGCCCCAAAGAAGAGGGAGTCAAGCTATTCTCCAAAGCACCTGAAGGCAGGGCAAGAAGCAATGGGTGGAAACTAATCAAGGAGAGAGGCAACTTAGAACTGAGGAGAAATTCCACAATTAACTAATGAAATAACTTGCCTCCAAAAGTTGTAAATTCTCCAACACTGGAGGGTTTTAAGAAGAGAAGAAGAAGATTAAGAAGACCACAATTTGTCTGAAATGGTATAGGTTTCCTGCCTGAGCAAGGGGTTGGGCTAGAAGACCTCCAAGGTCCCTTCCAAGTCTGTTATTCTATTCTATTCTATTCTATTCTATTCCATCCCATCCCATTCCATTCTATCCTTCTATTCCACTCCATTTTAATTTCCTCATTCTATTCTATTCTATTCTATTCTATTCTATTCTATTCTATTCCATCCCATTCCATTCCATTCCATTCTATCCTTCTAT